TTTTTTTTGAGAAAGGGTCTCGCTCTGTCGCCCAGGCTATAGTCCAGTGGCATGATCTCGGCTTACTGCAACCTCTGCCTCCCAGGTTCCAGTGACTCTCCTGGCTCAGCCTCCTGAGCAGCTAGGATTATAGGTGCATGCCACCACACCCGGCTAATTTTTGTGTATTTTCTTTTAGAGATGGCTTTCACCATATTGGCCAGGCTGGTCTTGAACCCCTGATCCCCTGTGATCTGCTCTCCTTGGCCTCCCAACGTCCTGGGATTACAGATGTGGGCCGCCGCAACCAGCCTCGATATCCTTCTTCTAGCTACTTGAAACTATGTAATATATTAACAGGGCCAGGTGTGGTGGCTCACACCTGTAATCCCAGCATCTTGGGAGGCCAAGGAGGGCGGATCACTTGATGTCTCAAATAGGAGTTTGAGACCAGCCTGGCCAACATGGTGAAAACCCATCTCCACTAAAAATACAAAAATTAGTTAGGAGTGATTGTGGGTGCCTGTAGTCCCAGCTACTCAGGAGGCAGAGGCAGGAGAATCTCTCGAACCTGGAGGCGGACGTTGCAATGAGCCCATATTGCGCCATTGCACTCCAGCCTGGGTGACAAGAGCAAAACTCCATTTCAAAAAAAGGACATTGAATGTTCCCAACATAAAGAAATGATAAAGTTTTGAGATGATGGATATACTAATTACCCTGATCTGATCACTATTATATGTATGCAACATCACTATTAAAAATGCAAATACTTAAAAATTACAGCAGCAAAATAAAAGCACAGAAAAGAGAAAACCCAATGGAGAAGGCAGCCCGGGTCAGCTGTGCCACTTGGTGTGGATGCCTGAGGTGCAGAACAGGAGCTGCTGTGTACGCGTTTTTCTTTCCTCTCCTTTTTCTTCAGAGAGGGGTTGGAAGTAGCTGCTGGGTCTGGCTTCATGAAGGCTGCTTTGATGGCTTGGCTGAAAGAATGTTGGAAACTGGGCACAGGAACAGGGTCTGAGTTGTCCCTCTCCCTATTGCTGTCCACAAGAGCAGGAGAAACTAGGCTGTTTGCATCTTCGGAGCAGTTTTGGGCCAAACATCTGCTTCTCCTTTTTCAATTCTCCACATCTGGGCAAAAGAAGGAAAGAGAGTCGTCTTCCAAATTCCTGATGCTAAATGAAGCAGTGGGGTGACAGAGGGGTCAGCAGAAAGTCTGCTTGGGACCCTGGAGTTCTGTTAAGAGGAGAAAGGGAGGGGGCCCCAGGCCCTTCGTGCAGGGGGCCCCACAGTGGAACTGGAGGGGCAGGTGTAGGAATGGCAGGCGGGAAGCTGCCGTAGATCCTGCAGGTCCCCTGTCTGGTTCTCCTCCATCTCTGCCCTGTGCTCTCAGCAGCATGCCTCCTGAGACTTCTCCTGGTGACTTCTCTTCTCTATACCAGTCTAGGGTTACCTTAGAGACCATAGGAGAGGGTCCCATTTCCCAAGACCCAGTCAGAGAACCACCCTGTGTTGAGAGTTCCCGATTCACTCACATCCCATGTGACCTCGCCTGTACATCTTGGAAACAACAGCTCCCATCTCCTCGCCCTTGAAGGACCTGGGTACTGCTAAGATGTGTTAGTGTCCAGGGATTCTGATGCTTATTCTCTATGTGTTCCTGGTGCCAGAGTCTCCAAGGACCTACATTTCCAATTCTACCACCCTGCATTGTTTTCCAGGGTTCTGGTACCTAATTAGGAAAGTCGTCTGTATCCATAAGTTCCTCTGGCCCTCTGGAAAGTGGCCTATTTACAACAAAGCCCCACAGATCAATCTCCTTCATCTCACCACAAAGCCTCGCAAATCAACCTCCTTAATATTACCACCGTCATACGTTGGATGAGTCCCTGTAGGATGATGCCAATAAGAACAGAAGCCTCCAGTTCTCGAAAACTTAGTCCCTTACATGGATGAATTCCTTACTTCTCTCAACAGCCTTTTGACATAAGTACTACGATTATGTGCATTTTACAGATGAAGAAACCAAGGCTCAGAGAAGTTAAATGACTCACCCAAGAGCACATTGTTAGTTTCATATTGACAAGGAAATTCAAGCCCTAGTCTGCCTGACACCAATGTTGGTCATTTGACCATTACACAAACTGTCTCAGGTTATTTCTACTAATCTCCCTATGAAGAATTATAAAGAATATTTAAACAGTAGATTGAGGGAAGAGAATGGGAGGGAGATGGGATAATTTAAACAGTAGATTGAGGGAGATGGGTCTTTGTATTAATAAAGAAAATGCTAGCTAATATAATAATCAACCTCCCAATTTTAGTGTCTGAACACAGTGCAAATGTATTTTTTACTCATGTTGCAATCTGATGGTGTTCCTGTTGGGTTTCCTCCATGTGGTGATTCTGGGACCCAGGCTTGTCTCATCTTATGGCTCTGCCATCCTTTAGGGCTTTGGAGACCTTTGCATACAGAAGAAAGGTACACCCTCTTCTTAACTGCCTTGGCCCAGAAGTGACACATGTCCCTTTCTGCTCACGTTTCATTGGCCAGCACTGGTCCTGTGGCGTTGCATAGATGTAAGGGGACTGGGAAATGTATTTCTTCCCTAGGCAGCTACTTCTCAGCATCAACTCCATACCATGGAAGAGGGCATGCAAAATATTTGGTGAAAAGTTAATTATCTCTGCTCCAGCCTCAATGACCTTAAGTGTCTTCTATTCCATAAATTCTAAGGTTCCATAATTTAACTGTTAAATTAACAATTCAATTACAATTAAATTAAATTGTTAATTTAAGTTAAATTATTAATTTAAGTTAAATTGTTAATTTAATTTAATACATGAGAATCTGTTGGAGACTTGAAGGTCCTTTCTTTCTTTTTCCTTTTCCTTTTTTTTTTTTTTTT